TGGGCAAGAGCGCAGCTCTGTCAAGTCCTTGAGGGGAAAGTCTCCTGCAGCCCAGCAGGTTTAGCTGCCCAGGACAGAGGAAGCCACCACTCTACAGAAGCGTTTGCAAACTCCCAGACCCTTTGGATTCCTTGCTGAGCGGTCGGTGCCAGTTACACACGTTCCCCAGAGAGGCCTGGTGTGCAGGAAAAGCCGCTGGCGTGACCCCCTTAAGCCTGAGGACTCGGGTGAGTGTGCAGAGGTTCCACACTTGATGGACTCCAGCTCCTAAGAGTTCTGGGGGACACAACAGGGCAGGGGACAGAAGGCTGCTTGCGGAGCCTGCTAGACTGGGACTCTTTCCTGGGGCAGGCGGCCTCGTCTCCCAGGAGCGGCAGACAAGGGCGGCAGGAGGGACCCCTGCCCCTGCGCTGAGCAATCCGACACCCCTCCCACCAGGGAACTGGGTTTCTTTGCCAGCCCCGCAGGGCAGACGACACTACACAGCTCCATGCCACTTCGCCGCACGGCCTGTCTACTCCTAGCGCAGCAGAGAGCCCAACACGCCCCACGCTACCAACCAAAGCATCAGGCAGATCTAACTGCTAGGCAAGTCTGCCTTCCCACTACCCCTTGACGACTTTCTAAGGTGCGCTGAATTCCCACGTGGCCTCCCCTCCATAGCCTACTAGTCTGCAGCCGCTCTCTGGCTTGCCAGTGCCATATCACAAGTGCCGCTGCTGTGTTTCTCCACGGGGGCGCGTCCGGGGGCGCTAGTTACCTGCCCTGCGTAGAAGGCTTTCTCTGGGGAAGGTACGGGCTCCGAGCTCAGCTCGTTCTTGGGAACCAGCCCTTTAACGTCGTTGTAGAACTTGACAATGCAGCCGAACTCCCTAGCGCACACAACAAAGCCGTGGGCCATCAGGCCAGGCTTTGCAGCCTCGTAACTAGCGAGGACGGGCAGTTTGGACGTGACCAGAGTTTTCTTCAGCGTGAGGAGCAGCTTCTTTTCTTCAGGCTGGGATATTAACACCTAGGAGAGCAAGGAGCGAGAGGTTAGCGTGGCTGCAAAGATGCTGTTCAATCAGGAAAAAGGCATCCCCCCCTTGATTCATAGTCGCTGCGTATAAGGATCCCAGATAAGTCTGCAAGTTCGCACTAGTGTCAAGCATCCAGTAGCAACAGCCCTCGAGACCCTCGGCGGTAAGGCAGAGTGCCGTACAAACACTAGCTGCCCGTGTCCCGGAAGCTAAACCTGCTAATGCAGGTGTCGTCAAGTGACTTGGTGGGCAAGTTTATGGCGGTTTTCCCTGAGCTTGAATTCTCTCCACGCAAAAGTCAGCAAGTTAGAGCAGGAGCAAATTAAGATAAAGGACAGACTTACAGGATACCCCCGCACTTACGACCCAATAGGTTCCTGGAGAACCATTGTAAGTCAAACCCTTATTGTCCATAGGGGCAATGTTATGAATGGGGGTTCCATTCCTGGCCCGCTTTGCCTCCTGGGAGTTGTAGTCTCCTGGAGCCAGCGGTGCGAATGGTGCCTAGAGCTGGCTGGGGGCTGTGCCGGGCAGTAGGCGGCCCCATGGCTCCCGGAGCAGGGCGGCTGTAAATGCGGGGGGAGGGGTCGCAGGTCAGGTGTCGCCTATATTGATATGAATCAACTAGCAGGAAGCCAGGAAAGCGACCTCCCCGTGCGCATGCAAGTGGGTGGATTTCAGACGGAGGCTATTCCAGCACGTTGCTGCCGGAGAGCGACACGGCCGCACGACGTCGGGGGAGCTGCACTGGGCAATGCAGGGGTCTCCTGTTTGATACGCAGATTCCTAAAAGGAATCACCCAAAGGGTTTTAAATGGCCACCGCCTCTGAAGTCGTCGAACCCCGTCGAGGGTTTGGGAAGTGAAGCGATTGGGCCCTGCACGTCCAGCGCGCTCTTCATCCCGGGCCGCCGAGAGCAGGAATCGCCAACACGGCTTTACAGAGGGGAGCCTGACAAGTTAAGGCCTCAACAGTTTCAAGTGCCCACCAAAAAGGAGCAGGACCTGAACCCCGACGGGCCTGATTTTCACAATGGCTGGGTATTTGCTGCACCCAACACTTCTTGGGGACTTGTGGGTGCTCCGTAGCTCTCAGAATCGGGCCCCCGCTGTGCGCAGCCGGGCACCAAACACCCTGAGTCCATCCAACAGGGTGGAAGCTCGAAAGCGTGGGCCACACAGCAAGTCCCACCGCCCACCCCTCAGCCCAGTGGCCTATGGGAAGGGGCCATTGAGAAAAGGCAGCTCGTTCTCTTTCCAAAATACCAGCGGCCTCCAGGACTCACTGAAAACCACAAGCGCATCAGAGAGTCACCCGCTCTCAGTGGAAATCAGACCCATCTCTAAAGGCTCAAGCATCGCTCTGGTGGGAGAGGACACCTTCAGACAGCCCCAGCCCTCGGCTGGCCCCAGGGCAGAAGGAATCTCACCCGGCACTTGACTTCGTCTCCCACGCTGTACTTCTTCTCGGGATGTTTCAGGAGCACGTCCGCCAGGTGCAGGTGAGGCACCAGCCCCCTGATGTGATCAGTCACCTTCACCTGCATCCCAAAGGGTTTCAGAGCCAACACTTTGCCCTAGAGCCCAGAGGAGAGAGGAGGGTTGGTACTTTTCAGCATGGGCTCTGGTGTCCATGGGAAACAGCTGATCCACCACCCCCAAAGAGCTATCTAGTCCGCATGCTGGGCAACAGCATTACACGAGGGAACCTACCCTGCTGCTTGCGCCCTCACTGACAGTGCTGTGCTTGCTGCGTTCTGCTCCTGCTCCACAGCAAAACTCCCACTGACTTCAAAGAGGCCAGGATCTGAGCCGGGGTGTACGACCAGCGGGCACACACGGCTTCAGAAGGATTGTCCTACCCTCCCCACAGCAGCTCAGGCGAGCGCCTGGACTGACACATTGCTCAGCTAGGTAATTACAGCTGGGAGAACTTGCAAGGTATTTTTGCTGGCGCTGTATTTGCATTCTCACTTTCCTGCACGGGTCCGAAGCAAAAAGGCACGAACTGACATTGACTAGGCTAGGGAAAGGTGCATCGGGTAAGGCCCAGGGGCAAGCACACACGTCACTTTCCTGCACGGGTCCGAAGCAAAGAGGCGCGAACTGGCATTAACTAGGCTAGGGAAAGGTGCATCCGGTAAGTCCCAGGGGCAAGCACACACCGTCTCCAATGCCAAACCTGCAGTGTTCTCGCATGAGCTTACCTCCACCACGTGCCCGGGACAGATGTCTTGGTATCTCAGAAACGGAGCAGCGATAATCCGCCTAGGAGAAGACACAGCAAGGGTTGGCGTGCGAGTCAGCTTGGGTGCAAGAGAAAACCCAGAGGTGGTAAAGACAAGACAACCTCCTCCTTCCCCCACCCCAGGTGTCTTCCAGAATATGCCTGGCCCCATTTATCACGCCACTGCTCTGTCTGCCCATAGCCCTGTGTCAGCATCATGGAGACCCTCCCTCTGTTAAGGTGGACTGGCCCAGCCACCTGGCTAAGCTCTGTCCCAGAGTATCATGCAAAGGACATCAGGCAGCATCCTCATCCTTGTGCACAGGGAACCCCCCCGGCTCTCAGACAGCAATATCTATACTAGACAGGGAGGACGGCCAGCGCTTAGAGTGCAAGCCTGAGACTTGCTCTGGCACAGCCTTCCTGTGTGACCTTTGGCAAGTCACTTAAGTCTCCCTGGACCTCAGTTCCCAACTGTGCAATGGGGAGAACAGCCCTGCCCTGCCTCGCAGGCACTGTTAGGAGGAGAAACGTGCTCAAGGTCATGAAGTACTCCGCTAGCCAGAAACGGGGGCCAGATGAGTAGCATCGACAGGGATGATGAGTGGAAACCCCAGGGGGCGAGTTCTAGCTGGTATCAACCCCTTGTATCCCATCAGCTCCCACAACTAACTCTGGAACGGCACAGGACACTCACCGCTTCAAAGACAACAGGGCCAGCTCGTCCATAAGGCTGTAGTCAATGATTCGACACCTGTGCTTGCTTCCCATCCTAAACGCCCCGGGCCTGAAGGATTTTTTGGTGTCCGAAAGATGCTTCAGCTACAAAAACACAGGGCGATGGGTCACCATCTGGAAACCGAGACAGCTTCGACTTGGGGAGTGGCTTGGGGCGGAGCTAACAGACCAGTAAGACTCCGCACGTTTCCCGTGGCTGCTTTTAACCAGGGGAGAGGCAATGCCTACACCCCCCGGGAAAGATTGGTTGGGAGGCCTGGGGGCAGGAAGACTCAGGCAAACCCCACTTCCTGTGTGGCCCCCGGCAAAAAATTATTGCCCACCCCTGCCCTACACAGTAACAATGTTGTCTTTGCGATTCCTCTTCTGCTAATGCAACCTGACATCCTTTCCCCCACGATCATACCTATGCAACCTATGTACGGGGCTCAAGGATTTTTTTCACGTTAGCCCCGCTCCCCCAAGCCACGACTGGTGGGGCCAGTGCTGGACATCTGTAGCTGTAGCATTTACCATCTTTGTGCACTGGATGAGGATCCAAATGCTGGTATTTGCACAGGACTGGAACAGGAAGACAGGGTGCAGGGGTGGGGGTGGATACATAGGGTGGTGTACAGACCGGGGTTGGACACAGGTTAATTATTGTGGATGCAGATCCACTTTGTGTATCTCCACAGCAGTAGGGGACTGGCCAGTCAGCGCATGTTCTCTAGCTCGGTTCCTCACCCCTCCATTTGTATTTGTCTTCACAGAGAGGAGGAAAACCAACCCCACACCCATCACCACAATTAAGAGCCTGAGCAACGACAGGTACATCTACTAGTTAATAATTAAACGCTTATTAACATGGACTGAATGAATTTGACTGGGTGCTTTTTAGGGTTCCTCTCCACCCCCCATCCTGAGCACCGACTATGCAGAAGAGCCACTTTCACGTCCCGGTTCTCACGCACTAGCAGCGGCAGCACCGCCGTTATTTACCACCACCCCCATGTACAGTGTTAGATACCATCCCCCAGAAGTCTCTGTGTTGGCTGGTGATTTCATACCCGCTTGCAGCGACCCCACCCCCCGCGTCCTGGCCGTCGGGCCTGGAGAACTCACCCGGGCGAAAGCCAGCGTGCCGTCGTCCAGTTCAAAGACGGCGCCAGCCTTTGGGTGGAAGCTCTTCACCACCGCCTCCTCCACCACCGTGCCGATCCGACCGCTGGAGAGCTGGCTGAGCACGCCGCCAGGCTGAAGGAAGCTCTGGCGTAGCGTAAGCCGCACCACTTTGGAGGTGGGATGGACGGAGAGGACACAGGCCTTCACCTGTTGCGGGGGAGGAGAGGACGGCGCGATGAGACAGGCTGGCAACCTGACGAGCCAAGAGTCACTTTCACCCACCCAGTCTAACATTGTGTCTTGCTCCGTGGAGGCTTTGCCGGGGTACAGCAAGGATAATGGAAAGTGCAGAGTGGTAAGCTGGCTTGGTGTGGATATGGGGAGGGGAGTGAGACTATCGGCAAATTAACCCCTGCCACAAACAATGTTCCCGCCATTTTTTTCCATCCAATGGCAGAATAAATTTTGTTACATGCACCAAGACACATGCAAGTGTGCACCACCCATAGAAACGCATGCTGCTGGCTGTGGGCACTCTGCCAATCAATTGGGTGGCACCTGGATTTCTCCTGGGCTGCTGCCCAAACACCCAGCTTACAGGGAACACTGGCCACACAAGCCATTCCACATCTTCTGTGAGCCCCTCAGCTACCAAAACCATAATGGGGCACCTTCCCGCAGGCTCTCCAGTGGCTCTGTTCAGGACCCAACAGCAGAGGCTGCCTCCCTTCTCCCCACCCGGGTGTAGAAAGCAGCAGTGCCAACGCCACAATCGCTGATGCCACCAATGCCACTTAAACAAAGCCCTTTGCCAAAAGGAAGGAAAGGAGACAGACATGCTCAGCAGCTTTCTGATTCCTACAGCCGCTTCAGCATCCACTCACCATCTGACTTTCCGTGTAATTCCTCCCTTTCTTTGGATCCAGGTGCATGAAGTCCACAATCCCCGTGAAGGAGGAGAGGAAACCCAGAGTAAGGCCATAAGGGGTCACCTAAACCAAGAAAGAGAAATTCTTCTGTAGGGCACAAAATTAAATCAGAAATTAGATTCCCTGCCATCGCAGGTGCCTTAGGCATGGGTGCCCTCAGTCAATTCTGTGACTTACAGCAGTAGCTGTTCCAAGGGCTGTAACGCCTCTATATGATTTTGGCTGTTTGCTTGGCATGGGGGTAATGGGGTGCTGTTGGTGGTCTGCGAGATACAGGAGGTCAGAGCAGAGGATGTGTGTTAAAAGTTCTCATCCAGATGCGGGTGGCATTTTACTAGCCCTCCGCCCCCGCATAGGTATCTTAGAATCACAGAACACTAAAACTGGAGAGATCATTAAGTCCAGTCCCCTGCCCTCACAGCAGGACCAAGCACCACCTGGATAATCCCTGACCGATGTCTATCTAACGTGCTCTTAAATATCTCCAGAAATGGAGATTCCACAACCTCCCTAGGCAATTGATTCCAGTGTTTGACCACCCTGACAGGTAGGAAGTTTTTCTTAATGTCCAACCTAAACCTCCCTTGCTGCCGTTTAAGCCCTTTGTTTCTTGTCCTACCCTCAGAGGTCAAAGAGAACAATTTTTCCTCCCTCCTCTTTATGACACCCTTTGAGATACCTGAAAACCGCTATCATATCCCCTTTTAGTCTTCTCCTTTCCAAACTAAACAAACCCAGTTCTTTCAGTCTTCCCCCACAGGTCATATTTTCTAGACCTTTCATCATTTTTGTTGCTCCTCTCTGGACCTTCACCAATTTTTCCACATCTTTCTTGAAATGCGGTGCTTAAAACCAGACACAATACTCCAATTGAGGCTTAATCAGCGCAGAGTAGAGTGGAAGAAGGATTTCTTGTGTCTTGCTCACAACACTCTTGTTAATGCCTCCCAGAATCAGGTTTGCTTTTTTTGCAACAGCATCACACTGACAACTCATGTTTAACTTGTGGTCCTCTATGACCCCTAGATGCCTTTCCGTAGTACTCCTTCCTAGACAACCGCCTCCAATTTTGGATGTGTGAGACTGATTGTTCCTTCCTAAGTGGAGCACTTTGCATTTGTCCTTATTCACTTCATCCTATTGACCTCAGACCATTCTCCCTTGGTAGATGCAATCAAACTCCCAAATCATAATTTTTCATTCAAAAACAAAACCACCCACTACAATTCCAACCCCTGTGGCTGCAAAAACACCCCCCACACACACACAAAAAAACCCACAAACAAAAACAAAAAAGACACAAAAATCGAGTGTAAACAAATAGATTTCACTGTATCTGGAAACTGCCTGAAACAAGAGTTTAGTGATGTCTGCTGCACCCATTTACATGACTGGGTGTTAACTCTGAAACCTAAACTTTCAGTGCCACCTATTACATGAATGATCAAAGGAGAAGGACTGTTAAACAGCACAGAGCTGCACAAGGTACTGAAAGTGGTGTCAAGTGGGCAGAGCACCACTATTCATGTGTTCCCTAGTCCAACTTCTGCACGGACCATAGAAATGGTCAGATGGAAAGGAGGAAAGTTTATCCTACAAGGTACTGAAAGTGGTGTCAAGTGGGCAGAGCACCACTATTCATGTGTTCCCTAGTCCAACTTCTGCCCGGACTATGGAAATGGTTAGATGGAAAGGAGGAAAGTTTATCCCATTTCCACAGTCACAACAGAAAGGGCCAGAGCCAGAGACTTGAAAAGTTAATGCTTCCCCCATCCTTCCAGCAAGTAGCCACTTTCATCTGTACTTGGTGCAGAATTCTGGCCAAAGATCTAACCTGATTTGCCGTTCACGTTTTCTGGAGAACTTTTAGATGCCTTAGTGTTGTTACAGAAAGAGACTCCAAAATGGAACCTCGTTACTGCCCTATGTCTTTTTGCACCAGATCGGCCGGTAACAATGGAAGATTTTACTCCTCCAGAGTGACTGATCTTCCGCAGAGCTACAAAACCAAGAGATGGAGAAGAGCAAACTGGATTTGACTCTTCCTCACACTTCACCCCCACCGCTCTCCCAGCACAGACGTTGGAGTCTTTCAGCTTGGTGACTGGGCACAAGAACAAGGCTCAAATTCGGAGGCTGAGCCAGCAGGGCTGGCAGGCAGGAAAAACAAACAAACCGTATCTGGGTTTGTAAACGCGCTGAGTTCCATCGCAGCTTTGCAGGGGCAGATCACAGCTGAAGACGCCCCTCACAGCCCCAAGCCTAACTTCAGAAAAAGCAGTTTTACCTTCTGCACCTGGGCTTTCACCACCAGCCCTGGCAGCAAGTTACTGAACGTCCAGTTCTGTTCCTCTGTTGCAATGGCTGCAGCAACCTCCGACTGATGGACAGACAGACGGACGATTCTCCCATTGTTTTTCACTTCTTCAATGAGACAGTTCAGGTACTGGCCTATTTTCAGCTCGGCCCCTACAAAGGCAGGAAACATTGCAAAAAAAACCCTTATCTTCCTGTTGGTCATATGCCCCAGCTTCCCTGTCGGAAACCCTTTGCTGGCTCCTTTTCCTAGCCAAATTCAAGCCTCTTTTCCAGACCTTCAAAGTTCTTCACATCCCTGCCTCCCTTTTGATCAACTCATCTCTGATCACAATGCCCTGCCCAGCTATGTTATCATCAATGCCAGTTTCAACCATATTTGCCCATGTCCCTCCATGCATGGGACAGTCTCCCTGAAAGGATCTGTAAGGTCACCACCCTCAGCTCTGGATCCACATCTGCTGCAACACTGATCAGAAAATCAATGTTAAATGGCTGGCAGGCAGGGAAATTGATTAATGGAATTACAAAGCATTTATTGTAGAAAGTATTGATGGTCTACTCAAGAGAGTGAAGTCCCAAGAGAGCACACAAAGCATTTATTGTAGAAAGTATTGATAGTCTACTCAAGAAAGTTAAGTCCCAAGAGAGCACGACGAACTACAAAAGGGTCTCCCAAAACTGGCTGAATGGGCAACAAAAAGTCAGATGAAATTTAATGTTGATAAATGCGAAGTAATGCCTACTGGAAAACAATCCCAAGTATACATATAAAAGGAGATCTAACATAGTTGTTACCCCTCAAGAGAGATCTTTGAGTCACTGTGGATTAGGGATGTAAGCGACTAGTTGACTACCCTACGCTTATCGGGTAGTCAAGTCACTACTCAACTAGTCGCTGTATCAGAGGCACCCAGGGGGAGGAGCAGGAGCCAGCGCTGGGGGAAGCCGGATTAAAAGCCGCTTCCCCCCAGCACTGTCTCTGGAGCGTGCGGGTAGGAGCGGCAGAGATGCAGCGGGGGAAACAACCCATGGGTTCCCTGCTGTGCCTCTTCTTTAGAAATGTACAAGAGCCACCAGCAGCTCTTGTACATTTCACAGGCAGACGCATAGCGGGATAGCGAGCGCCTCCCTTCTCGACTAATCGAGTAGTCAATAGAAATTCCATTGACTACTCGATTAGCTGGTTAATTGAAATGTAGCATCCTTACTGTGGATAGTTCTCTGAAAACATCCATTCAAAATGCGGTGGCAATCAAAACAGCTGACTAAATGCTGGGACTCGTTAAGAAAAGGATGGATAATAAGATATGAATTTATATAAAGGCAATGTGATATTCCTGTCTTGAATACTGTGTGCAGATGTGGTTGCTCAACCTTGAAAAAGATACTCTGGGATTAGAAAGGGTTCAGAAAAAGGGAATCAATTTTCAGCGTTATGGATTGGCTTCCTTACGAGGAGAGATTAGACTGGGGCTTTTCAGTGTGGAAAAGAGATGACGAAGGGGGGATATGACAGAGGTCTATAAAATCATGACCGGTGTAGAGAAAGTAAATAAAAGTGTGCACTGGTGTAGAGAAAGTAAATAAAAATGTGCTATTTACTCCTCGTAACACAAGAACTAGGGGTCACCAAATGAAATTAATAGGCAAGAGGTTTAAATTCAAGAAAAGGAAGTTTTTTCTTCACAACACACAGAGTCAATCTGTGGAACTCCTTGCCAGAGGATGTTGTGAAGGCTAAGACTACAACAGGGTTCAAAAAAGAGCTAGATAAGTTCATAGAGGATAGATCCATCAATGGCTATGAGCCAGAATGGGTAGGAATGGTGTCCCTAACCTCAGTCTGTCAGAAGCTGGGAAGGGGGAACAGGGGAGGGAATCACTTGACGATTCCCTGTTCTGTTCATTCCTTCTGGGCCACCTGGCATTGGCCACTCTCAGAAGACAAGGATCCTGGGCTAGATGGACCTGTGGTCTGACCCAGCATGGCCGTTCTTAGGTCTTAAGACTGAACAGGTGCAGTCTTCTCCCCATGATTTCTCAGGCTGGAAGTAAGGACCTTGCCTACTGCCGTGGCTGAACTTGCTTAGAACAAACCTGACCCCAATCCCAACAGGCCTCTGGGCACTAATGTGGCTCCGTTACACGAGGATGAGAACGGTTTTTTCCATGCTCCTCTGGAGAGCACAATGCGAAGCGAGCGCCTGCAGCATCACAGCTCCCCTCCCCCCAAGCTTCTGGCACCAGTCCGAGGGTGAAGAGACCAGTTCCCTTTTATCTCTGGCCTTTGCGGACGACAGGCCACAAATCTCTTTCCTTTAGTTGCTGCTATTTCAGGTCTCTGCCAGCCTGAGCCCAAAGAGAACCCGACTAGAGCAGCAGGGAATGGTGCTCTCAAGAGGTTTCCTGTTCTAGTGCATGTAGGGACTTACGTCAGCATGCAAGCACATGCCTTTAGAGCACAGGCCTTTAGCCAGGAAACTGCCACATGGATTAGTCCCTTCCAGAGGGCTGCGGATGTAGTGCTATGGGAAGGGGCTGTCTGGACCACCCTGGAGACCACTCAATCCTGAGGACAACACACAGAAAGCAGCTGTACAGGTTTCTCCTGCAACATCCTGCCAACGTGCCTCAAGCAGTGTCTGGACAAATACTTCTCGGCGGGGGGAGGGAGATGAAATGGGAGAGCTGGTGCCCATCTCCATTTGTGCCTGGGCTTCTCTGCAAGAGCGTCCAACCCGGGGAACAAGCAGTGACAACGGTGTTTACTGGAAGGACACCCGGCCATCAGGAAACGGACTGGCCAACAGCTCATTGCACAGCGGCCTGAGCACAACCGAACGCCAGCAGAGACATCTGATCTCGCCTGACGGGAGCAGAGTTTGAGTCAGCAGCAGAGGGGTGAAAGGTCCCAGTCCCCTCCAGCTCTTGTTCCAGCTGGGCACCTTACCTTTGTTGGCCGATTTGAGGTAACTCTGGGACTTCTGACGAGGCAGAAATGCTTTAGCACCACTGACTCCAATGTCTACGAGGTAGCCGTGGTCTTCCACACTAGACACCAGGCCAGAGAGTAACTGCAGGAAGAGGGAAGGCTACAATTCAGCATCACAAGGGAGTGGTTAGGCCAGCAAGGAGAGCAGTTCTGTTCGCAGTTCATATTTCCTTCTCCCCTGGGCTCAGAGAGCTGGAATTCTCCCCCTGCTTTGGGCACATTACGCTCTGCCTGCCCTGACACTGGGACATCCTCTCATCCAAGCAAGGCACCAGTCTAGTGGAGTCTTGGCTTCCTGAAGTGCTGGAAACATCACGACATTGAAACGTGACCGGTACCCACCCTCTGATTTGCCTGTGCAGCCTCCGTGACAGGGGGTGCAAGGGAATAATTAACTAAGCTCACAACACTAGGGATGTTAAAAAGCATGTAATTGGGGGACAGCGTAACCACTGAAAACCTCAGAGGTCACAAGCACCCGCAGTGCGGGGCAGCAGCCAGCTCCCCAGGGGCAGGGTGGGAGCCTGCGCATCACCGTGAATGGTAACCGAGGAGCCCAGGCATGTGATGCTTTTTCACCCCTACGCACCACCTCTGAGAGGTATCCCCCGTGCGGCTGACAGACTTCCCAGGAAGGGGTGGGGCCTCAGGCAAAGAGGGCGGGGCTTGGGCAGCCAGCCCTCAAAGCCATAGGGAGCGCACTGTGCAGGGCTCCAGCAGCAATTTAAAGGACCCAGGGCTACAGAAGCCCTGGGCCCCTCAGAATCGCCACAGCCCAGAGCAGTTGCCCCCTTTGCCCCTCTCCCTGTCGGCAGGTCTAATTATCCCCGTTTTACTGATGGAAAAACTGAGGCACAAGGAGAAAAGTGACTTGCCCAAGAGCCAACAAGCCAGTGGCAGAAGAACCGATCTCCTGAGTCACAGCTCAGACCGGCACTCTGCCCACTAGATCACACTTTCTTCCAAGATCAATTACACCAAAAAAGGCACAGATCCTGGCTTTAACCGCATGCAGCGGCAAAACTGGATTCATGCAAGCAGAAGAAGGGGAGGGGGACGAGATCTCCCAAGAGCTGGGAGGCTGCGGTGCACCGGGAACACCCACCATGCCCGATCGGAGAGCGGTGGGGTTCAGAGCTTTGTTGACATCTTTGGGGTTAATTGACAGCTTGACGCTCTGGCGTCCTTCCGTGGTCTTCTCCACGCTGCTCACATGGCATCTAACCAGCATTCCAGGGGGGTACAGGTCTGACAGCGAGTTCAAATCCTAAACAGCCAGAGAGTTAAAGGAGATCAGAAAAAAACATAACATCATGAAGTCATGCAGGAGACCAGAACTTGTCATGCAAGAGGCTTCTGAAATCCAAAACCCAAAGGAAAGCCCTGGTCTCAGGAGTAGCCACGGGTCACAAAGATCGGGGCCCAGAGAACCTGTGTCTTGTCTTTCAACTCTGCAGAGCCTGGAGTTTCAAGCCTGACTCAGGACACAAAGAAGAAAGATGTAGACAGTGTTACAAGGCTGAGACTGAAGCATTCAAACACAGCTGCCAGGCTCTGTCCAACAGCAGGAGATGTACAGGTCAGGATTAAGATGCCTCTCTGTGGATGGTGGGCGAAGATCCGGATGGGGAAGGCAAGCCTGAGGCCCCGCCCCTTCCGCATGAGGCCTCGCCCCCTGTGGAATCAAGTCCAGCCCCCTCCCAAGGTTATTGCCCCTAACGCCAGCGAGTGGCAAGACCCCACCCTTCCCAGGTGGCCAAAGTGCCTGAGGCAGCTGTGCTGCAGCCCCAGTTTTTCTGGGCAGCCGGCAGAGAGTGTAGGTGTGTAGGCAGTTTTGGGAAGGCAACGCCTCCCCTTGCTTACATTACCCGCCATCCACGTGCTTCACCCAAACTGATCCCAATCCCCGTTCCAGGTCTCTCATGCAAAGGGGGAAAAGGGCCAGAGGGCGTCAGCATTTTCCCGCTCCAAAAATTCCATTTTAAACGAGCACTGCCTCTCAGGGGAGGGGAAATATAAGCATGCGCGAAGAGTAACGGAATCGCCCTTCCTTTCTTAGCAACACCAGGGAATCACACGGGCTGCTTACAACAGGCACAGTCGCTCCACTGCTAGAACATTAGCTGGTAACACACTGCACAGAACATCACAGAAGCCATTTTTGGGGGCTGGACAGGGTTTGGGGAAAAGGGCACAGTCCTCAGCAGCCCTGTCGGAAAGGAGAGATTCTCCCAAACACACCCCCACCCCGATTCATCCTTCAGGTCCCCTCCCCCCAGAGGATAGCCATGGAAACGCCTTAAAAGCGGGGAGCGCGTGTACGGTGAGGGTTGCACCGAACATTTGGCTATCGGCCAAAGAAGCAAGAGAGCAGGTCGCGCAAGGGATCCGAATTTCCTGTACAACAGTGGAAATGGGGCTCTGCTTGCGAGGCCCCATTTATATAACCCAGCCCCAGGACACACCCCATCCCCTCACCTCCAGGAGCTCTTCCCGAACCACCTGCTCATTCAACATTTTGCTGTAGGCATCGCAGACGTGTGTCACTTGCACAAATCCCACGAGCCCATTAGGCAAACTGACCACCAACTCGAAGTCGTTGGACTCCTTCACGCAGCCCCCCAGCAACATCCCCTCACTCAGGGCCTGAGGAAAAGAAGAAACGGCACTCAGCGGGTCTCAGCCAGCCACAGACTCCCCGCGTGTAATGAGACTGAAAATCGAGGAAAACTCAGACCCCAGCCTCAGGCCACAAATGACTATCGGCACCTCCCCAAACCACTCGCTATGGAAATACTGCAGTCAGAAGCCACCCCCTGAAAAGGTCTGTGCAAAACCCTAGGAGCAGGATGACCTCCCACCCCATCGTCAGGGCTGGGATGAAGAGTGACTGATGGGGACATGAGCTTTCCAGACTCGAGAAACCTGGCACACGCTTGCAGGAGGTTGACCAACAGAAACTTCTGCAGAGCAACCAGCAAAAGCTACTGCATGTTCCACCTTCCAAACCTTAAAAGCCAGCTCCCCACACAAACCAGGGAGCCGCCTGCTCCCTTCCCCCCCCCTCCTGGTTCACCTTTTAGATACTTCAACGCTTTATCTGAACACTTATCCACAGACCTCAACTGTGAGAAGTTCAAAATCTTTGGCGTTGGTCTTAATGGCTTCTTTTTTCTCTGCTTTGAGCTTCTTCTGCTTTCCTTGATCATCGTGGATCCTCTTTCTTTTCTGGGATCCTTCTTCATGACAAGTCTAAGGCAGATTTTAAGGGGAGCAGGGAGAGAGAAGAGAATTGAAAGAGATAACGGTTGTGGCTCCACTAAAAAAAAGGGAGCAAAATCATCATCAAAGATCGGGGGGAAATGCTAAAGTTTGGGGTGAAAAGGACATACTGTTGCAAACCCCGAAGTTCAGATGAATGGTTTGCAATCACATTTACCCAGGGTCAGACATCTGTCAAAAGTCACAGATTCCATGAGGAAGTCCTAAAACAAACATTAGGGTTCTGTCCTGCAGAAAGACCTCAGGGTCAATGGAAGTAAGAACTACAGGGTTAACCACTTAGCTAATTGGCAGTGGAGAGCTTCGTCAAGCACGTGCACACAACTCACATCAAATAAGTTATCCTGTTCGATTGGTTGTCTGGGCGCTTTTCCCTGCACAGATTTTTTCTGGGTGCCCCCTCGAGGGAAGTTTTCTTCCATGGATTCCATGCGTGCATTTCTAAAGGAAAAACAAAAACAAAACAAACCAAAAATCAGAAATGAACTCCACAACTGTTATGACATCAGGGTTTAAGTGACAGGAGAATGGAAACTAAACAAAGATTCACTTGGCTTTGTAGTAAATGACAACAAAAAAAGTAACAGAAAGCAAAAGGGTTCAAAGCAAACCACAGGCCTCTAAGAACCCTTCAATGAATTTGAAAATGACAGTTACGTACAAGACACAAGTTGGGTGAGGCAGTATCTTTTATTAGACCAACTTCCAGTGGTGAAAGAGACAAGCTTTCAATCTCACAGCGCTCTTCTTCAGATTATACACATATATCAGTCACCAGAACTTTTCACTTCTCCCCAACATTACCGTATCAGTCCTCAGTGACATCTGAGAACCACGTATACATGAAAAGAATTACCTGCACCCTGATGTGCAACAGACAAAGCACCAGCTCCACAAAGGAGTAACAATTCATGCCTTCAGACAGATCACCTTGGGCTGCAATCTTGTCAGATCTCACAACCATAAGTAGTCAGGGCTCGTCCACACTACAAAGCCTTGGCCAACATAGGGATGTAAGCAAGCTGTCGACAAGCCAAGGTCTATCAGGTAATGAGGCAGTTGAGTGACTACTGGACTATCCGCTTCTCTTTCCTCCCCAGTCTCCACCTTGGTATCATAGGCAGCACAGGGTGGAAACCAGGAGCGGGTGCTGGGTGGGGGGAAGAAGCCAACTTAAAAGCCAGGTCCCCCCAGCACTATTTCCACAGCGTGGGGGACAGGGACATAGTGCTGCAGTGGTCCCGTTCAGTTTCAGCTCATACTGCCCCCAGGACCACTGCAGCTCTGCACTTTAATGTAGTAAGAGCCTGGCAGATTCTTACTACATTTGAAGTGCAGAGCTGCAGCAGGAGGGCGGGCCCCCCCACCCACGCCAATGGACTACTCACTGGAAATTCCATCTACTACTCAATTAACTTATACTTAACATCCTTAGGTCAACAAAGCTGTGCCAGAAGAGCCACCCTAGTGTAGCAACAGCATTACCAGCAGGAGTTCTTCTACTGGTACAGCTACAACCTTCCTTCCCCTCTCCGCCCCGCCCCCCATTAGATGAAACAGCAGAAGCACTCTTTTGGTAGCAGTCTCAGGTGGGTGTTATTCTGTAACTTCAAAAATCAGCAGTCCTGTGGCACCTTAGAAACTAACAACATTATTTAAATCATGAGCTTTTGTGGGTAAAATCCACTTCATCATCAGCTGCCAGGCAATGAAGTAGTGGAAGAGTCGGGCGTCACAGGCCTTTTGCTGTATCTTTAATTCAAAGCTTCTGGCCTGGACAAATCTGGGGGGAAGCTAGTCCCCGTTCCTTCTGCCCAGGCCCTGCTCCTTCTGGGGTGGAGTTGGCCCGTAACTACATACCAAAATTCATTAAGTGCCTCCCGGTGAAATTTATTACACACCCTTGGGATAGACAGTGTCATTTTCCCTGCACCCCTAACCAACAAAGCTATGCCAGCAGAATTTTATAGGCCAGATCTCAAACACAGCAGTACCACAGTTCCTGCAGAAATCAGCACTGCATATGAGTGCTTGTAATTAGTCCTTTTGAGCCAGTATAAGCCAGCATTTTGCTGGGGGCCACTGGCTACCAGAAGTGACATTTTTAAATAAAGCGGAAGTCCGGACAACTTGTGGTCAATTAAAATGCCATAGCACTTCCCTTTGCATCTACATAAAGCATCACAGATAAACTGCAATTTAAGTCATTATATTTTACCCCTGTACATCCCCCCTACTGCTTCAAGTACACACCATAATCTTTAAATTGTTGAGAGGTGTTGTTTTACACCATTCAACAATAGTATAATACTGCAGGAAGGACATAGACAAGTATGAGCAAAATAAACCCCTGTACTAACAAAACGTAAATTCCGTTTAAGGTAGAGAAACTAATCTACTGTATGAAACAAAGACTAACAAGATGGTTTATTAGGTGATGAGCTTTCATTAGCTCACAGACATTTACCTTCTCCCCCCCCCCTTCCCTTTCTGTTCTGAAATTTGATTTGTCCTTTTCATATGTGTTCATTTTTTTAAATTGTATCCTTTGGTATATATGGTTGTGACTATTTTCTTCCACTATTTGATCTGAGGAAGTGGGTCTGGCCCACAAAAGCTCATCACCTAGTAAACCATCTTGTTAGTCTTTAAAGTGCTACATAGACCTGTTTGTTGTTTCAGCTACACCACACTAACACGGCTCCATTTCTACCCCTCATCTAATGTCTATTACACGTGAGCCAACAGCAAACAACGAGACACAGACAAGCGGAGCCAGCCAATATAATCGATCACACAAACCCAGGGACTGCCTCGCTGCCAAGGCTAACCGCGTAGGGAGAGTGAAAAGCGCAGGGGAGGGGGGAATGACACCAACCAGCGACATGGGGCCCCGGCTGCGCCGGCCAGAGGCTGCTCGTCGCCACGGTGCAGCTTGGGCGGCTCCCACACGCATCGGGCCGGAGGAAGGAGGCCCCCAGGGCCCAGCAAAGCGCAGGGTCACGAAACACAGGGAGCCTCGGCCCCCAGCGGGGGCTGAGCCCTGGGCCACCCGGCGGGGAAACCAGCGGCCCAGCC